ACCTGGAGTTCCAACCTCCATAATTATCCAATCCAAGCTGTTCACATTAATGATTAAACGCTTCCTCATTTTCCAACAAATTCTTCTACTTGAACACTTGGTCTTCTCCATTTTCCATCGTCTTTCAATCCCCATCTTCCATTTCTCACATTCTCTTGCTCTCCGTTTTCAAAAATTCTCTCTTTGTTTTTCATCTAAAAAATTATATTTCTTCGCCCCTCCTAACTAATTGAGTTATAAACAGGATTTACATCACAATGGGGAAGAACAAGCATCACTCTATAGATGCAATTTTTGAAGAAAATGCAGGGGAAAGCGATCAGATATCCCCAACCCGACAAAACAGCAGAAGTCCTACCATTAAAGATCGAAAGCCCACTTCGAAAATCCTCGAAGCAGAGCAGAAAGCTGGATCAAATTCCAAGAAGCGAAAGAGGATCAGTAAGGAAAAGAAAAAGAAGGGTTCGAAAGAAGAAATTGGTGAAGTTCAAGTCTTTGAAGAGATAGGAGAAAAAGAACCAATTGAGGGGAAAGGGTTGTTTTTCCAATCCAATTCTTCACCTCAAGAATTTGATGGTATTTCGGAGCCCAATTCCAAATCCCTCGATGCAGAGAAGAAATCGGTGTCAAATTATTCAAAGAGGGGGAAGAAGAAGGATTCGAAACATGATGATAATGACAAAGAGAAGGCTGAAAACCTCATCCAAGATGTAGTCATTGAAGAAGCAGAGCATGCAGCCCAAGTTGAGGGGAAATCAGATCTATTTCAATCCACTTCTTCAACTCCAAAGGTTGATGGTGATTCAGAATATATGCCAAATAATAAAAGTGGAAATCCCAATTCAAAAACCCAAAGGGAAGAGCAGAAAGAAGAAATGAGTTGTGGTTTTGGTCTGACAGGTACAAGGGTGTTTACAGAGGACGATGAGCTTATACTGCTTCAATGTAAGATTGATTTTGGATTATTACACAAGGTACCGGCATCATCCGTTAGTGCTAGTGTCTTGCATGAGTTTTTAAAGGGAAAACTTCATTATGATTTTAGCAATAATCAGATTAATGAAAAGATAAGGAGATTGAAGGAAAGATTTGTTAAGAACGGGGAGATGGTTGAAAAGTGTGGTGGTGAGATTGCTGCTTCCTTAAGGCCACATGAGGTTTTGGTGTTTGAGCTTTCAAAGAAAATCTGGGGTGAAGAAAATAATGAGAATGTTGAGGATCGGATATTAGTCGAGGATAGCAGTAATGGGATTGATGTGAAGGCTAAAAAGAAGATCATCAATAAAGCGAAAAGGAGTTCGACTCCAGAATTCGGTGCAAATGAAGCGGCTGTGGATGACAAAGATGGTGAGGTTTCCACGAAGAAGAAAAGATTGATGGAGGCCATTGAAAAGGTTACAAAGAAGATCAAATTATTGCTTGAGCTTGCCCAACTTGAATATGATGAACTGAAGAAGGAGGGATAGAGTGCTGCTGTTTCATTGTTCTTGTTTTACTAGTAGTAAATTTTTGGTGTATTAGCAAGTCTGATTAGCTCAATCGAATGGAGTAGTTAATTACCTATATATGCTACTTTGACAAATCGCTGTTTTGCTGATTATGAAGTGTTCTGTGAATGATTGAAAGGTATTAATTTTATGTCTGAATTTTGATTTCAAGATCAGGGGAACTGCCACTGGAAGGTTTTCCTACCAATTGAAGGTTGAGATATAGTTTGCATTTTGGTTTGCAAGTCTTATAAAATGTTGTTGTATTCCTTTCAACTCATGATCATTATTGACCCCAAAATTCAAATGAACTTTGTTAAAAGTAAAGCTTATGTGGAAACAATTTCCGTGGTTATCAAAAAAAAAAAAAAATAAAAATTCAAATGAACTTTGTAGATTGCCCCAAATATTTAAATAGTTATACATAATTTTTGAACTAGTTACTTCTCTTAATCGAGAGCCCCTTTCTCTTCTGTTAGACTTATAATTCGTGCCCATAAATATATCTTAGCTGTTCTCAGTTTGGTACATGAAGAATGAGTGCGCGGTTGCCTATCTTGCGAGTTATTTCTCTCGCGCGATGTTTGTCTCCGATTCATTGGTGGTTTACATGCTGGAAAGATTAGTACATTGGTGCATTGAGTACTGCACAAAACGATATGGCGTTAGTACCAACCCAAGAGCACATAAACTGTTTTATGCTGGTTGTCAGACATTTATGTATGTTCTTTGCTTCCGATTCAGATCTTTGATTTTGGTTCCTCGTTTCAAATCAAAACTAGCTTTATGGCGGATTGATGAGATTTTGAAACATCCATTGGATCCATTGAAGGTTCCCATCCATCGTGGAAGAATTTCTCCGCGCAGTTAGATCCTCCGGCATTTTTGCTGTGCCAGAGAACTCTTCAGCCTTCAGTGGGCTAGTAGAATCAGAACTTTCTAGGGCATTTGGTGGATCAGAAAGGCTTGACATGTTTTTCCCCTTTGATTCGTATTTGCTCAAGAGATAGGGTCGTTTCATTTGTCCGATTTTCGTGTACTGGTCGATGGTTGTTAGTCCTTACCATGAACAACAAGATGATGATGAAAAAGATAGAAGTGATGAAGATACAGCTGATGTTTCTGTGGGTGGTAATAGAATGATGAGTTTTGATGATGATGATTTTGTTGTGGCGGAAAGGGTATAAACACAACAAATCAGCGGAAATGATTCCCAAGAAAAACTCTTTTTCTACTATCAATAAAATAGGACAACCAAACAAGCAAATAATCAAGAACTGATAAAGTAAAGTAGACACACGAATTTACGTGGAAACCCAAATTGGGAAAAACCACGAGACTGCAACCACAGTCAAATCTCCACTATCACAATAATGGGAAAAACCGTCTTCACCAACCGGTGGATACACAGGACTTCACCCAAAGGTGGATTACAACAATACTCTTCCACACACACCTAAACCACAAAGTAAGATTGGAAGGATCTCACGAAAAGAGAGCTAAACTGAAAACTAAATCCTAGCTTTCTTTCTTTTTCTCTCGCACAAAACCCTTGCACGGCTGCCCTAATTTTCCTTCTCTCTCGACTGAAAAACATGCACAAATTGTGCACAAAGCCTTGCTTTTATAGGCATAAAAAACAAAACCCAAAACCCAATAGAAGTGGATTTTCTTTTCTCGGTCAAACACCCCAAAATCAAAGCCTAGTTAGGCTTGGTTTTATTTTTCCTTGTTGTTGCTGGCCCAATTGAGGGGAACGACCAGCCCAACAATCTCCTCCTTCACCTCAATTGGGGGGTAAATCAAACCGGCTTCCTGTCTACAAAACAGGAGCTTGTCTCTACTCACAATCTTCGTCAACATATCGGCACCGTTGTCATCCGTATGAATCTTCTCAAGAAACAATGCCTAGGACTCCAACACATCCTGAATCCAATGATATCTCACATCAATATGTTTAGACCGCGAATGGAATGTGGAATTTTTCGCCAAGTGAATAGCGCTCGGGCTACTATATTACACCACATACCTCTTTTGCTTCATACTAAGCTCTTATAGAAACTTCCGCAACCAAAGTGCTTCCTTATAAGATTCAGTAGCTGCGATAAACTCTGCCTCTGTAGTAGACAAAGCAACACACTTCTGCAACCTACTCTGCTATGAAACTGCTCCCCCTCCATAAGTCATCAAATATCCAGAAGTAGACTTCCGACCATCAAGGTCACCCGCCATGTCAGCATCTGTATATCCATCCAACATGGTCTTCCCATTGCCAAAGCAAAGACTCAATCTGGAAGTACCCATAAGATACCTGAGAATCCATTTCACAGCATTCCAATGCTCCTTACCAGGATTGGAGAGAAACCAACTAACAACACCAACTGCATGAGCTATGTCTGGCTTTGTGCAAACCATCGCATACATGAGGCTGCCAACTGCCGAAGCATAAGGAACTTTTTTCATCTCTTCTTTATCTTTCTCACTTTTAGGACACTGCGTTTTTCTTAACTTAAAATACTCCACAAATGGAGTCGAGACTTCCTTAGCACCGCTCATGTTAAACCCATCAAGAACCTTCTTGATATACTTCTCTTGAGATACCCAAAGCTTCCCATTCTGTCTGTCACGAGAAATCTTCATCCTAAGGATCCGTCTAGCCGGATCCAAATCTTTCATAGCAAAGGACTTATTCAACTCCTTTTTCAACCTGACAATCTTTGCAGTATCATGACAAATAATCAACATGTCATCGACATAAAGCAAAAGAATTATAAAATCACCATCAGAGAATTTCTTCACAAACACACAGTGATCGGCTGTAGTCCTTTGGTATCTCTGCCCTATCATAAAGGTATCAAACTTCTTGTATCACTGACTCGGAGCTTGCTTCAACCCATACAAGCTTTTGTTGAGACGACATACAAGCTTTTCTTTCCCCTTCTCCTGGAACCCATCTGGTTACTCCATGTAAATCTCTTCTTCCAAATCACCATGCAAGAAGGCTGTCTTCAAATGAAGCTGTTCAATCTCAAGATTCAAACTGGCCGCTATCCTAAGCACAACTCGGATTGAAGACATCTTTACAACAGGAGAGAATATCTCATCAAAGTCTACGCCCTTTCTTTGATTGAATCCCTTCAAAACTAATCTAGCTTTGTACCTCGGTTGTGAGCTGTTCTCACTTGTTTTCAGTCTGAACACCCATTTATTCTTGAGTGCTCTCTTGCCCTTAGGCATTTTCACCAGGTCATACGTGTTATTCTCTTGCAAGGATTTGATCTCATCTTGCATGGCTGCTAACCATTGATCTTTCTTCTCATGACTAAGAACCTCTTCATACGACTCTAGTTCTCCCCCATCAGTAAGCAACAAATACTCATGAGTATTGTACCTGGTGGAAGGTTTCTTGTCTCTGGTGGACCTTCTAGGCTGAACAGGAGGTGATGAAACCGGTGGTGTCTCTGTTTCAGTAGCAGGATGATCATCAAACTCACCATCCTGCTCTGTCTCAGCTCTCCCTTCAGGAGAATCATCTGATTGTGGAGGAAGTGGATCTAGATCAACAGGAATCTCAGATGAAGATTCTGGCATCTCGCCCTTTTCCATATCATCAATGGTCTAGTTTTCAAAGAAGATCACATCTCTGCTTCTGAAAACTTTCTTCTTTACAGGATCCCAAAGTCTGTACCCAAAATCATCATTTCCATACCCCAAGAATACACACTGCCATCAAGCTTTGACCTTTCATCTTTGGGAATATGAACACAGGCACGACAACCAAAAACTCGCAAATGTCCAAATGAGACATCTTTCCCTGTCCAAACTCGTTGTAGTAGATCACCATCCAACGGAATTGAGGGAGATAGGTTGATCAAATCAACTGTTGTCTGCATGGCTTCACCCCAAAAAGATTTAGGTAGCTTTGCATTCAAGATCATACACCTAACCTTTTCGGTAATAGTTCTGTTCATTCTTTCTGCCACGCCAGTGGAGTCTTTGGAACACTCTTCTGAAGTTTAATGCCATGGTCTCGGCAATACTTCTCAAACGGACCCCTGTACTCACCACCATTATTTGCTCGAATACATAACTTCTTGCCAGTCTCTCGTTCAACTCTAAGGTGAAAGTCTTTGAACACATCTAATACTCGAACTTTAGATTTTAAAGAAAAACACCAAACCTTTCGAGCATAGTCATCAATGAAAGTAACAAAGTACAATGCTCCACCCAACAACCTATCTTTCATGTAACATACATCTGTATGAACTAACTCTAGAGGACTGGACTTTCTAGATGGAGGAGAATTTTGAAAGGAAACCCTATGTTGTTAATGATAGATACAGTCAACACAAGGTTCTAGAGCAGTACCTTTCACCTCAGGGAGAAATTGATTCTTACCAAGAATCTGGAGCCCCTTGATACTAATGTGTCCAAGCCTTCTGTGCCAGAGATCTATGGAGGCATTTTGAGTTGCATTCACCTCTCCATTCTTCAACTTTGCATTCAACACATACAAAGAGTTCAACTTCTTTCCTCTAGCAATAACAAGATTTCCTCTGGTATTGTCCAACGGCCACCTCCTTCAGTGCTATGATAACCCTCATCATCAAGTTTTCCAACGGAAATAAGGTTCAGACGTATATCCGGAACATGTCTGAAATTCTTCAAGACAGGAGTACAACCTGTATTCTTTACCAATGATACCTCTCCCATGCCGACAACATTGCATGAGGCTCGATTGTCCATTCTTGCACGACCAAAATCTCCAGGTGTATAAGAGGTAAAGAAGTATCTGTGAGGCGTCACATGATAAGACACACCTGAATCACCAAACCAATCACTGTCGTGACTCGCAACATTAATTGTATCATCATCACAGTACACAAATACATCACTGGTAGTTACTACTGCAGTAGTGTCATCATCACTTGATTCATCCTTCTTGCCTTTTTCTTTTCTCGCTGCTAGTTCTCTCTTGAGAACCCTGGACTCCCTCTTAAAGTGCCCATTCCCTTGACAATAGTAGCACACGACATCTTTCTTCGATTTAGACCATCCCCTGGACTTGTCATTCCGATCACGTGGCCCTCTGCTTTTACTTCTCCCTCTTCCATCTAGCTTTTGTCACCAGAGCCTGCGACTCAGACTCAATACTCTGCTCTTTTCTTCTGACTTCTTCATTCATCAAAGCCTCTTTGACCTGATCCAAGGTCAAGACACCATCCTGGGTTGAATTACTGATTGAAACTACCAAAGTGTCTCAACTGTCTGGAAGAGAACTAAACAATAACAAACGC